ATTTTTCACCACTTCCACTTTCCTGATATCTTTTCCTCAAATTCTAAATGCTTTTAGAGCGACTATTTACATGACATTGATTTATTGACGATAACGTCTTAATTAGGGATCAATAAGATTTGATGACTAATGGTCAATTCCTAAACATTGGGGTGCAAAATAATTTGTTTTCTATTTTTCGGTTCTACCTGTAAGTGAAGGCATATTCGCCCTGATCGAGCTGATCGTAGGTATCTGTGATCAAATGTGAGTGGGATGTGATCTTAGGTATCTGTAATGGAGTGGGTGGATGTGATCTTAGGTATCTGTGATGAAGTGGGTGGGATGTGATCTTTGGTATCTGTGATGAATTGGGTGGGATGTGATCTTAGGTATCTTTGATGAACGGGTGGGATGTGATCTTAGGTATCTGTGATGAAGTGGGTGGGATGTGATCTTAGGTATCTGTGATGAAGTGAGTGGGGTGTGATCTTAGGTATCTTTGATGAAGTGGGTGGGATGTGATCTTTGGTATCTGTTATGAAGTGAGTGGGGTGTATTCATAGGTATCTGTGATGAAGTGGGTGGGATGTGATCATAGGTATCTGTGATGAAGTGGGTTGGATGTGATCTTAGAGATCTGTGATAAAGTAAGTTGGATGTGATCTTAGGCTTGTGTAATGAAGTGGGTGGGATGTGATCTTAGGTATCTGCGATGAAGTGGGTGGGATGTGATCTTAGGTATCTGTGATGACGTGGGTGGGATGTGATCTTTGGTATCTGTGATGACGTGGGTGGGATGTGATCTTTGGTATCTGTGATGACGTGGGTGGGATGTGATCTTAGGTATCTGTGATGACGTGGGTGGGATGTGATCTTAGGTATCTGTGATGACGTGGGTGGGATGTGATCTTAGGTATCTGTGATGACGTGGGTGGGATGTGATCTTAGGTATCTGTGATGACGTGGGTGGGATGTGATCTTAGGTATCTGTGATGACGTGGGTGGGATGTGATCTTAGGTATCTGTGATGACGTGGGTGGGATGTGATCTTAGGTATCTGTGATGACGTGGGTGGGATGTGATCTTAGGTATCTGTGATGACGTGGGTGGGATGTGATCTTAGGTATCTGTGATGACGTGGGTGGGATGTGATCTTAGGTATCTGTGATGACGTGGGTGGGATGTGATCTTAGGTATCTGTGATGACGTGGGTGGGATGTGATCTTAGGTATCTGTGATGACGTGGGTGGGATGTGATCTTAGGTATCTGTGATGACGTGGGTGGGATGTGATCTTAGGTATCTGTGATGACGTGGGTGGGATGTGATCTTAGGTATCTGTGATGACGTGGGTGGGATGTGATCTTAGGTATCTGTGATGACGTGGGTGGGATGTGATCTTAGGTATCTGTGATGACGTGGGTGGGATGTGATCTTAGGTATCTGTGATGACGTGGGTGGGATGTGATCTTAGGTATCTGTGATGACGTGGGTGGGATGTGATCTTAGGTATCTGTGATGACGTGGGTGGGATGTGATCTTAGGTATCTGTGATGACGTGGGTGGGATGTGATCTTAGGTATCTGTGATGACGTGGGTGGGATGTGATCTTAGGTATCTGTGATGACGTGGGTGGGATGTGATCTTAGGTATCTGTGATGACGTGGGTGGGATGTGATCTTAGGTATCTGTGATGACGTGGGTGGGATGTGATCTTAGGTATCTGTGATGACGTGGGTGGGATGTGATCTTAGGTATCTGTGATGACGTGGGTGGGATGTGATCTTAGGTATCTGTGATGACGTGGGTGGGATGTGATCTTAGGTATCTGTGATGACGTGGGTGGGATGTGATCTTAGGTATCTGTGATGACGTGGGTGGGATGTGATCTTAGGTATCTGTGATGACGTGGGTGGGATGTGATCTTAGGTATCTGTGATGACGTGGGTGGGATGTGATCTTAGGTATCTGTGACGACATGGGTGGGATGTGATCTTAGGTATCTGTGATGACGTGGGTGGGATGTGATCTTAGGTATCTGGGATGACGTGGGTGGGATGTGATCTTAGGTATCTGTGATGACGTGGGTGGGATGTGATCTTAGGTATCTGTGATGACGTGGGTGGGATGTGATCTTAGGTATCTGTGATGAAGCGGGTGGGATGTGATCTTAGGTATCTGTGATGACGTGGGTGGGATGTGATCTTAGGTATCTGTGATGACGTGGGTGGGATGTGATCTTAGGTATCTGTGATGACGTGGGTGGGATGTGATCTTAGGTATCTGTGACGACATGGGTGGGATGTGATCTTAGGTATCTGTGATGACGTGGGTGGGATGTGATCTTAGGTATCTGGGATGACGTGGGTGGGATGTGATCTTAGGTATCTGTGATGACGTGGGTGGGATGTGATCTTAGGTATCTGTGATGACGTGGGTGGGATGTGATCTTAGGTATCTGTGATGAAGCGGGTGGGATGTGATCTTAGGTATCTGTGATGACGTGGGTGGGATGTGATCTTAGGTATCTGTGATGACGTGGGTGGGATGTGATCTTAGGTATCTGTGATGACGTGGGTGGGATGTGATCTTAGGTGTGTGCAATGACGTGGGTGGGATGTGATCTTAGGTATCTGTGATGACGTGGGTGGGATGTGATCTTAGGCGTGTGCAATGAAGTGGGTGGGATGTGATCTTAGGTATCTGTGATGACGTGGGTGGAATGAATCGTCCAAAAAATAAATTAACAGCTTAGCTTTACAACAGTATTTTTCATCAAATAGTTCCTCAAGTGAATGATGTTTAGCTTGGGTGACGCATCTACCTTTATTGATCAGTCTATTTAATACATGTTTTATGTCAGACGATGAAATCCCACACCAGCAGGTAATTCTGAAATTTATGAGACATCCAACTGTTGCACTGCAGACAAGGTTTTAAACGTGTTTGTTGACTCTTAAAATTGTACAATTTTTTAACGTAGATTTTGTTTGATTGAATTTCTTTTACACACTATTTGGCCGTGTTCGTGCCATGTCAGGTTATTATTAATAGTTAATGGTGTCACCTAGGTAATTATATGACTCTACTTGTTCTATATGGTGACACCTAGGTACTTATAGCCCTCTACTTGTTCTATGCTTTGATTATTTATTTTGAGATCTGCAAATTGGGTGATTTTCCCCTTCCGGACATTCAACTGAAGAAAGTTTTAATCGCACCAAATGATAAAGCCTGTAAACTAAATGGTGGTATAAGCTTTCCCCTTCAGATATTAAGCCAACAATGGCAGTATCATCTGCAAATTTTATGATTGAAACAGAGTCGCCTGGGCTCTAGATATCATTGGTATATATTGTATACAGGACAAGGGGGAGAACGCAGCCTTGTGGCACTCGGTACATAGTTCACATATTCGACATATTGTGGACGATTTGTTAAAAAAATTCAGTGACCTTCCTCTTCTTCTATATTTTGAGGGCCCACGATCAATGGATTGATCATTCTGGCTCCTATTTTTCAGAGGGATTCACGATGTTACTGTGCATGGTTTTCAAGGGGACACTTCACTGGTTTCAAGGGCTACTCAGCACGGGTTTTATGAACTGGGTTTGGAAGACAGGCGGCAAAAGCTGCAAATGTGTCAAGTGTAGCTCTTGAATATTTGAATTTAATCCCAACGAAGAAAGCCATTGAATCATAAGACGTGGCTGGAGGCTGTTAAAGGCTGACTGACGAAAAGTGAAGGAAAAACACCCTTTTGTTTTGGGCAGTCTTGGTGAACGTTTGATAATCACGGACAAAAAAGATGATCTGAATGTGACTGGACAAGTTCAAGACCACAAGAAATTTAAAAGTCACTAACAAGCGAACATCACACAGACATTTCATGTGTGTTCCTTCCGTTAAGTATTTTCTGAGCCCATTCGATATAACACTATCACGAGGCCGACGGTGCAAGGCGGTAGAAATACACGCACTCTTTGGAACTTCTGCGGAATAAATTTCTATTTCTTTAATTCTGCGATAACATGAAAACAAATATCAAAGGAACCCACTCAACTTCCCGAAAGTCCAACACCTTTGAGGAAAGTATTCACTTTTCCTTGCACATCTTACTTTTTTATTCAGCTTCCTCTCACACAACCCTTGTCACCACATTTGAACATCCCATTTCGGTAGGCACATGGCCTTAGATCCCATAAGAATGACTAGGCTGAAGCATAGGGCACACCAAGATTTGGGGCCCATGCAGCCTCTAGCCGTGCCATGGCTATGACGCATAATAAAAAAATTCGACATTTTCGAGGGCCCGAAAGAAGCTCGAAGCATAAGGGCCCTTACCGCATGCGGCCGGGTTGTCAACCGTTCGTAAATTTGTGCGCAGCAAGAAAACGGCGACGAAAAAACTCAACAACTGATAAGAATTCTATATCATAAAAATAGCCGAATAAATATCATTAAAAAATCATTAAGGTGTATCGTAAGAACAGCTTCGTACCCTCAGCCTTAATTTATTTGCAGAGAAAGATAAAAATAATAAAAGATTGAAACAAAAAAATGATTTTTTTTTTAAAATGACGTTGTTAGTGGTCATGTTGTTTTACCGTGGTCTATGGGGCATTGAATGGGCCTGGCGGAATTAATGCACGGTAACCAACAAGGTTTTCACTTACCAGTCAGCATGGGAAAAAGTGCCGCCGGTGTCCCGTCGCCCATGATGTTGTAGCCCTCCAGTTCGATGCCCCCGAGCTGTGAGACGAAGTAGGCCCTCGTTTCTTTCATCCGCCTCAGCCAGGACATCCTCGACATCGAGTCGAACCCGAGCACCAGCAGGGACAGTCCGTTCAGCCCGTTGGCAGGGGGCTTCACCTCGGCGAATCTCTGTTCGACCCCGGGGTTCTGGGCGACCCCCAGGTGGACATCCGTGTAATTCTTGTGCGGCGCCGCAAGCGTCGTGCAGTTGACCTTGAATACGTCAGACGTCAGTCTCCACCCGTCCTTGACCCCGAGGACTTGACCCGTCCAGACGATCGTGTCGTCGTTGGCTCCGCGTCTCATCTGGAGGAGATCACACGAGAATGCGCCGTTTCTCTTGATGGCGTCCTTCGAGAACTTCAGCGTCCCGTTCTCAACGTAAACCCAGTCCGGGTCGATCGGACACCGGCCTGGTCTCGGACGGCGGAAAAACTTCTTCATGACGGGGTCGTCGACTTCAAGCTTGGGCAGGAAACATTTCTGCTCCGGGTAGTTGCCGGCTTTCAAAGACTCTCCTTTAAAGAACAGAGATTTAGCCGCCAGACTTCGCCTGAGCAGTATGTCTCCAATGCGGAAGTTGCTGAGGAAAAGAACAAACAGCGAGAAGGCGGAGATCACCAGGAGACTTTTCACAGTGGAGCACCGCCGGACGGCAATTGTCGCTATCCTGTAAGTAGACGTGTACGGCGCCATAGTTACTTTCGGGCAGAGTACTTTTACCTTATGGCTGAGTACTTCTAAAAAAAAAAAGAAGAAAAACATGATAACATTCTATTAGAGCACACAAAGCAATTAGATTTAATTGCCTCACAAAAAATAACATTCCATTAGAGTACACAAAGTAATGTAGATTTTACTACCTCACAAAACATAACATTCCATTAGAGTACACAAAGTAATGTAGATTTGACTACCTCACAAAAGCTTGACCTAACGAACCAAGTTGCATTTACATTGAAAGATCCGCAAATACTAGAAAAGTATAACGAACGTCTTTGAGATTTCAAATGTATATATACATGTTACGGCCAAAGCACAAAATTCGCCAGTTCTCGAAACAGCCGGACTTTTCTCACCTTGGCCAGATGTTGCGGTCTCTCCAGACGACATGCTATAAATGTCCCCCCAAACGACATGCTGAAAATCCAACAAAACGAGATGTCCACCTAAACGACAAGCTTTAAATGTCCAACACTACGACATTCTCAAAACTCCATCGAAATGACATGCTTAAACGCCACCCTCAATTACATTCTTAAATAATCTACATGAACGATTTCCTTAAAAGAAACGCGAGGACCAAATGTGGGAAAACAACGGGATAAAGACTGACTGATGAGATGACCATCGTGTGGTTTGCGTAAGCTGGTAGTCTGGGGCTTAGGAGCAGTGGAAGAGTTTTGGTCTGAGGACAAGACTTGGTTCATGCAATAGCTCAGTGGACTCAGTGGTCAACGGGTGTGGGCGCCGGTAAGGTTATAGAGAAGGATAGTGGGGAGATCTGTCCAGTTTTTGGCGATACTTTGAAATACTGAAACACCAACAGTGTTATAGTGGAGGGTGACGGCAAGGGACAGTGTTATAGTGGAGGGTGACGGCAAGGGACAGTGTTATATTGGAGGGTGACGGCAAGGGACAGTGTTATAGTGGAGGGTGACGGCAAGGGACAGTGTTATAGTGGAGGGTGACGGCAAGGGACAGTGTTATAGTGGAGGGTGACGGCAAGGGACAGTGTTATAATGGAGGGTGACGGCAAGGGACAGTGTTATAATGGAGGGTGACGGCAAGAGACAGTGTTATAGTGGAGGGTGACGGCAAGGGACAGTGTTATAGTGGAGGGTGACGGCAAGGGACAGTGTTATAGTGGAGGGTGACGGCAAGGGACAGTGTTATAGTGGAGGGTGACGGCAAGGGACAGTGTTATAGTGGAGGGTGACGGCAAGGGACAGTGTTATAGTGGAGGGTTGAAGATCGCTGGAAACACCATAGCGGTGGCGTTTTTTTTTCAATGAGTTGTTAGGAGAAAGCTGGATTGAGGTTGGGATGGGGGACTTTGTGGATAGATTGGTGGGTTAGGAGTCGGGCGCTCAGAACCAGAAGTAATGGAACACTGTTCGTGTATAAACAAGAAATGCTAGAGATTATGTTGTGGGGCGAGAAACAAAATAAAACTGCAACAGGTTTAAAGAAGATATTACAGTAAACGGTTCAGAGCCAAAAAAGCATTCCATAAAGGCAACATCACACAGCAAACGGTAGATTGTAGCAAACAAAGCGTTCCGTAAAGGTAACATCTCACAGCAAACGGTAGATTGTAGCAAACAAAGCGTTCCATAAAGGTAACATCTCACAGCAAACGGTAGATTGTAGCAAACAAAGCGTTCCATAAAGGTAACATCTCACAGCAAACGGTAGATTATAGCAAACAAAGCGTTCCGTAAAGGTAACATCTCACAGCAAACGTTAGATTGTAGCAAACAAAGCGTTCCATAAAGGTAACATCTCACAGCAAACGGTAGATTGTAGCAAACAAAGCGTTCCGTAAAGGTAACATCTCACAGCAAACGGTAGATTGTAACAAACAAAGTGTTCCATAAAGGTAACATCTCACAGCAAACGGTAGATTGTAACAAACAAAGTGTTCCATAAAGGTAACATCTCACAGCAAACGGTAGATTGTAACAAACAAAGTGTTCCATAAAGATAACATCTCACAGTAGACGGAAGATTGTTACCAACACGTGTTACATAACGGTAAAATCTTACAGTAAATGGAAGATTGTAGCAAACAAAGTGTTCCATAATGGGAACATCTCACAGCAAACGGTAGATTGTAACAAACAAAGTGTTCCATAAAGGTAACATCTCACAGCAAACGGTAGATTGTACCTAATAAGGCGTTCCATAAAGGTAACATCTCACAGCAAACGGTAGATTGTAGCAAACAATGCGTTCCATAAAGGTAATATCTCACAGCAAACGGTAGATTGTAGCAAACAAAGCATTCCATAAAGGTAACATCTCACAGCAAACGGTAGATTGTAGCAAACAAAGCGTTCCATAAAGGTAACATCTCACAGCAAACGGTAGATTGTAACAAACAAAGTGTTCCATAATGGTAACATCTCACAGCAAACAGTAGATTGTACCTAACAAGGCGTTCCATAAAGGTAACATCTCACAGCAAACGGTAGATTGTAGCAAACAAAGCGTTCCATAAAGGTAACATCTCACAGCAAACGGTAGATTGTAGCAAACAAAGTGTTCCATAAAGGTAACATCTCACAGCAAACGGTAGATTGTAACAAACAAAGCGTTCCATAAAGGTAACATCTCACAGCAAACGGTAGATTGTACCTAACAAGGCGTTCCATAAAGGTAACATCTCACAGCAAACGGTAGATTGTAGCAAACAAAGTGTTCCATAAAGGTAACATCTCACAGCAAACGTTAGATTGTAGCAAACAAAGTGTTCCATAAAGGTAACATCTCACAGCAAACGGTAGATTGTAGCAAACAAAGTGTTCCATAAAGGTAACATCTCACAGCAAACGGTAGATTGTAGCAAACAAAGTGTTCCATAATGGTAACATCTCACAGCAAACGGTAGATTGTAGCAAACAAAGTGTTCCATAAAGGTAACATCTCACAGCAAACGGTAGATTGTAGCAAACAAAGTGTTCCATAAAGGTAACATCTCACAGCAAACGGTAGATTGTAGCAAACAAAGTGTTCCATAATGGTAACATCTCACAGCAAACGGTAGATTGTACCTAACAAGGCGTTCCATAAAGGTAACATCTCACAGCAAACGGTAGATTGTATCAAACAAAGTGTTCCATAAAGGTAACATCTCACAGCAAACGGTAGATTGTAGCAAACAAAGTGTTCCATAAAGGTAACATCTCACAGCAAACGGTAGATTGTAACAAACAAAGTGTTCCATGAAGGTAAAATCTCACAGCAAACGGTAGATTGTAGCAAACAAAGTGTTCCGTAAAGGTAACATCTCACAGCAAACGTTAGATTGTAGCAAACAAAGTGTTCCATAAAGGTAACATCTCACAGCAAACGGTAGATTGTAGCAAACAAAGTGTTCCATAATGGTAACATCTCACAGCAAACGGTAGATTGTACCTAACAAGGCGTTCCATAAAGGTAACATCTCACAGCAAACGGTAGATTGTATCAAACAAAGTGTTCCATAAAGGTAACATCTCACAGCAAACGGTAGATTGTAGCAAACAAAGTGTTCCATAAAGGTAACATCTCACAGCAAACGGTAGATTGTAACAAACAAAGTGTTCCATGAAGGTAAAATCTCACAGCAAACGGTAGATTGTAGCAAACAAAGTATTCCATAATGGTAACATCTCACAGCAAACGGTAGATTGTAACAAACAAAGTGTTCCATAAAGGTAACATCTCACAGCAAACGGTAGATTGTAACAAACAAAGTGTTCCATAAAGGTAACATCTCACAGCAAACGGTAGATTGTAACAAACAAAGTGTTCCATAAAGATAACATCTCACAGTAGACGGAAGATTGTTACCAACAAGTGTTACATAACGGTAAAATCTTACAGTAAATGGAAGATTGTAGCAAACAAAGTGTTCCTTGGTGGTAACACCTCACAGCAGTCGAAATTTTTGTGAACCTTCATTTCAAAAATATAAAAGAGTTGCGACTTGAAAAAAAAAGAAAAAACATCATAATCGCTGCCCCACCCCCAATGTGTTCCTACCATGGTTAGCGCTCCGTCCTATCTTATGATCTATCACTTACTCACTTAAATGGAGATAAAACACCTCTGAAATGCACATTTACCGCACAAAGTTTACACAAGCACTGTCAACTGTGTATTTCCTTATTATTTTTGTGGTTTTTTTTGGTTATTTTTTTTTTATTCCACAAAAGAATCCAATTTTCTACAAAACCTTACAGAACGAAGACCAAACAAGCATAATAAGTGTCTGTGCCAGAAGACGATTTCCCCCCCCCCCTACGTACCTGATACCCGCGCCAAGACACATGCCACTTCTGCAGCTGACACATACCCTTCTCCCCCCCCCCCCCNGTACCGTTCTTTCTCATGGCCAGTGGGGGAGTGGGGAAAGGGGTCCTGCTGTCCACTGTTCTCTGGAGTGATTAGAAACATGCATCAGTTTTGAGAGGGGGTGGGTGGAGGTGAATGGAAATTTGTGATTAGTAAGATTTTTTTTTTAATAAAAAGGTGTTGGGGGGGGGGAGGGGGGGAAGGGGGAGAGGGGTCGTGGGATAGCAGTTGAATGTTGACATTTTGGTGAAATTTTCAATCTTTTCAATGTTTTCATTATTTATTCTTAACAACTACACTAGCATAATCGCAAATAAGTAAAATAAGAAATTTGACCGTGTGAACTGAGCTTTCTTAGTGATGATTGTTTTGTTGTTTTTTTTTGTTTGAATCCCTCGCCTTTGTTTGTGCTGGCTACCTGGCAAGACATTCGGACGACTAATTGACCCACTTCCCATCACCCGATCGAGCTGTATCTTGGCACAAAGAGACTTATTACCGATGACAACACATTCTTTCAAATTTTCACTCAACCCGAACTCCCAATTGCTCGATAATACATTTTATAAAGTATTTCTACGAAAAACTTTTTTTTTTTTTAAAGGCGTTTGTTTAATTTTTGGTCATGAATGTTATTTTTTGAAAAAAAAAAATAATGAATTATTTTGTTAGGAAGGAGGTTTGAAATTGCGTAGGGAAGGGGT